GATGTTCATAATCAATAGGCTTTTTTCGAAATTGATCAAACACTATTTTTCTATTCAGTTTTTAACGCTGAATCTGGAAAGAATTGTTTGAAGGCTTCAAAACAATCTAGAGCCGAGATATTAAAGAAAAAATCTTTAATATCTCGGGATCTTGAATATTCTGAGAGATTTTTTTTGAGTTTTTACATCCTTCAAGTACTTTTTGATTGAAAACAATCATTCTATACATATGTTATCAGCGTTATTCAACCCTTTTTGCATATACTAATTATCGATAATTATCTATTTAGCTATTTTTGTACAAAAATTAGAGTTTGGACAAAAAAACTTCATTTTCAAAAAAAACATTTTCAGATCCACTTTTTCTAGTTTTTAAAAAAGCGAAATTCCGACTCCAGGTTCTAGCAATACATAGTTGATGGATAGTTTACTAACACGCCTATAATAAAATTTGACAACGTCATGGTAATAGTAGTCCTCTGTAAGAGTAGTTTTAGTTTAACACATTAACCGTCTAAGGTTTATTTTTCTTTGATCAATATATACTTAATTAGATTCAATACCGTGAAAGATGACGACACACGACCTTTGTTCAAATCGACAACAATTGTTCATTTATTGAAACAGTCAGTTGAACAAATAATGAAAAAGTAAAAGAAATTGAAAGTAGTTATACATATATATATATATATTGGTTAGAAGTGTGTTCATACAAAGATATGAAAAGAAAAGAATACCGCTGATCTATCTATAAACACCATCTATATAGTGAATAGAGTCGAAATAACCAAAACAAACACTGTTCTCTATATGCGCGCAGCATTTGGGCGTTCAAAAAGAAAGAAAAGCAAACACAAATAAATATCGATCTCTCTTTCTACCATCCATTTTCACTCTACACAAACATTTGTCAAGACATGTTACAAAAAAAAAGAGGAAATAAAAAATAGATTTAATGATATCTGACCTTTAGTAGTTCATTAGTATGACAGATATGTGAGGTGAGCCAATGGCCCCCCGAATATACTTGAAGAAAAAGTAAGAGACTAAATAGTATAAAAGCCCTGAGCGAATCTTGAATATCCTCACATTTTGTCCAAATCGTATAAAATTTTGATCAAAGCATTTTAGTGAAGGTGGCTAGAATCGTTTCATTTCGATATACTGAAATAATAGGAAAAAAAAGCCTCATTCTTCGCAACCATTGAAAAATTAACAGCGTTTCATGCTTAAATCTAGCGGTGTCGTATCAGCAGTTGCTGCAGGAGTAGCAACAATAGTCGATAATGATGATCTCGTCGGATTATCGCATTGAATTCCTATTGGTTGTTTCATTTTATCTGAACTAGTCAATGTTATGTTTCGCACAGAATTGGATAAATTCGATGATGTTGATGTAGAAACGATTTTTATACTTTTATCTGCCAACGTCGTTTTCGGTAAAAGTGTACGCTTCGCTGTCATATTCGGAGGAATTGTTATAATTGACGACGATGAGGGTGTCCGCGATGACTTCGTAATATACAGCGGTTTATGAGCTGCTGTTTTCAGTTTTGGCGATGAATTTAAAATACGAATTTTTTTCGTAGACGGTGGTGTCTCCCCGGTAGTAGTGGTTAATGTTGAGACATCGACAACAGCAGGGGGAATGTCATTTTTCTTGGATAGTGATGTAGCAACTGTTACAACTGCTGTTTTATCATTTGATGTTGGAACAATAATGACGGGCGATGGTATTGGCGATTTCACCGGCGATAACGAACTCGTTTCAGGTACATATGGCGGAACCTTACAAATGTTTTTCTTGTGTAAATTGGAAGCTGTTGAATCTCCCATACCATTACTAATTTCGCTAGCTTCTACTCCGCCTTCGACATTAATGATGACCATTTCGGGTGAGCGTGGTGCTGTTATTGTTGCTGTCTCTGTGCTGTTTTTTATTGAAGGTACACGAAAATCGAATTCATCACAATAGTCATAGGCTCCAATGAGAAGATGTTCACGATCAAATATGGACGTTGGCGGTTTAACCATAGTTGGTACAAAACGAGGTTTACGTTTCTTGCGTTTAGCCGCCGGTTGAGTTGTACTAGCTACAATCGAAGGTGTTAACGTACGATTAGAACTAAAAAAGTCGGCAGTTGTACATAATTTTTTCTTTGGAGGAATTGAACTTTTGTCTCCTAATGGTTTTTTTCGTTTTGTTATTTTTTTACTACAAGAATTAATTAGATCAGGTAATGGTTGTTCGTCTGACGGACTGTCGGTTTTATGCTGTTCCTCTGCCAGCTGTGGAATATACCAGGATGTTTTAGCTCGCCGAATTCGCACTTTTAATGCTGCATCATTTGCCGCATCTGTCATCGAAGATGTTGGACTCGTTCCGCTTGATAATATAGGTTTTTCATTAGTAATATCACTGGTTTTTACTGGCAATTGATCAATTATAGAAGTAATTTCAGCATCAACATTTTTTGGAGAATGTACTGATAATTCAGTTCGTGTTGTATCAATATGTAATGGTGTTAATTCGTCATCTTCTATCACTGGATCTTCAATAAAACGTTCGACAGCAATACACGGTTGTTCATCGTTTAATGTTCGATTACGAACAGAACGTCGTGCTGTGGGTCCAGTAGTAATCGATTGTCGTCGAGTCGCTTTAGGCGTACGATTTGTTTCAACAGTCGACGATAGTCGTGGACGTAATGATCGTGCAGTATCCTGTTCTTGTTCGCTTTGTTGTGCAGTTACAAAATTTTGTTTTCGTAAATATTGAATAATGGCTAAATAGCCTTTTTGACTAATAACAAATCTGACATCGAGAGAACGTCTCTATAACAAAACAAAAATCAAAACAATATTAATATGTAGGTTAAAACTAAATTGAATGCTTCGATATGCTTTCTACGTTTCTTCTACGTTGCTAGAGACATCAATTAATTTGGAAGTAAACGTTAAACATTTCAATGAACAAAATAAAAAGATTATGAAAGGAGATATTGGCACAAAATCTCCTTTGAGGTGCTTGGTTTTGCTGTGATCAAAAAGCGTCGAGAATGTATCTGAGTATGTCATTTACCCCCTATCGACTCCCTTTGCCAGCTAAGTAGAGTTTATAGTAATCAGTCTTATTAGCTATTAACATCTATCGTAATAAATCCTAGTTTATCAATCATTAGCATGAGTTTTAAATGTCATGTCAAATACTTTTGCACACACATGTTCACTATATGTTTTATATTGATTAACGGAAAAAATTCTTCTCTCTCTTGACTTAATAGGCTTTTTTGCTTAATTATACTCATACCCAACCTACTATAATAAAATTAACTATTATCTTAGATAAACAGAAATTGATGAAGAAAATGGCCACATTTTTTATGTTTGAGTATGTCTGTGTACACGATGGTATGAAAATCTAATAAACTAGTTGATTTTAATCAACGACTAATGAACACAATCTTAAAAAAACCCACAAATATTTCAGTAAATATAGCGTCTTAAACAGAGACAAAACATAACAAGCCATAATCAATTACAGTTAAACATGCTACGATTTTTATACCCGTTTACTCTCATAATATGTAGATGTGTCTCTAAAAAAGCGTATTGTACTTGATGAAAACTCAACTTTGAAAACTGATCAGAATGTACGTATTAATTAATGAAAAGGCTCATTTACTCTTCTAACTACATTTAACCTCTTCAAATGCGATAAGAGCAAAGGTGATATATTAAAAAAGCAGTAATTCCATCTGTTTCTTAATCTCACCTTGTGCATTTGATTGTAACAGTAACATACGTCAATAAGACGTTCATTTAAATCCAATAAATATGTTTTATAAAATAAATCAATCTAAAAATAAAAATAAAAAAATTATTAAATGTTCAGTTTATTAATGCCTATTTTTACTCACTTTTAATGTTGGTCCAATGCTATGTTTCATTCTTATAAATTTTTCAACGAGTCGAATTGGTAAAGTGACTGCACAATGTAAGTAACATGACGGTAACTAAAACAGACGAAAAAAACATTTTTATGTCTCAAATTACTATACAAAATAAATAGTTAAAATACTTACAGTTGATATTGGAGATGTATCACAATCAACAGGCAAAAGTTCAGAGGCTCTAAATATAGTATAGAAAAGACAGTCAATTATTAGAGAATCTGATGTTCGGTTAAAGTATTTTTGTTTTATTATGTATTTAATGCAAAAAATTTCTTTAAACAAATGGTGAAGTTATGTACACTACAAAAATTTTCTTTTTAATGAATTATTGCTGTTAAAATAGCTTATTTTTGACTCTCATTGGTTGAATCATCATACTGGAACGTTTTTCTGTTTTCATTTTAAATTTCGATATAGAAAATGGTACTTTAAAAATTACTAGGGAGTTTAATTTAACAATATTTTGACACTAGGGACAGGAAACAAGTCTTATGGAAAAAAAAAGAAATTTGAGGGCGTCTTATTTAATAAATAGTGATTAACATATAAAGGGAAATGGTGTGTTGCTTGACACATAATTTAATAGTTTCTCTTCCATTGTCTTTTTATTACGGAAATAGACTATTTTATTTTCTGTTACTGAATATTCAACTGCTTAAAAACGGAAATTTGACCATTTAAGGTCAGTCAAAAAATTTGTGAGGAAAACAAGAGACAACGTTGACCGTTTTCTTTAGAGATATCTATGAATAGAAAATAATGAACTCAATAATTATGATTTGTAAAATAATGTAAATGAAATTCGTCAAAAATTAAGAGCAATAGACACGATGAACGATCAAACGAATATGTATATGTATTTGGATATATGAATATCAAATAAGAGAGTAAATATTAGTGAACTATGTCAATAATCAAAAAAAGAAAGAATGTCTAATAATTTTTTATGTGTATATGTGGAGAAAAAGAGTAGAAACGATATTAGTAAAATATACTTACAAATCCCAATATTCAAGATAAACATCTATCGTTGTTCCACAGTGAATTGTTAAACTATCTGAAATGATGATGAAAAAAAGCAGTTGTTACTACAATATAACATCAGTGATCTGCCTTGCTAACTTTAACAACTTAATTATTTCTATATTATAAATTTTTTTCAAAAATTGAGAAGAATCGTACAAAATTTTTTTTCCTTTATACAACTAGTCTGTCTTTGTAACTCAGAAAACCATTTTCTTCTCACAAACGCACTCAGACTCAATTCGTTAGAGGAAATGATTTTCTATATTTCTGTATTGTATCTAAAGGACTTTTTTCTGACGATCAAAATTTAATTAGACTTTTTTTTTTTGTTGTGTGTGTGTTGTATTTAAGATGAAAACGTAAAGAACTTCACAACATCTTCAATATAAGATAGATAAAGAGACGAAGAAAAAAAATCCTCTGAGGGCATTCTTTTGTCTCTATATTCTAAATTTTTTATGAATACAATGCGATAGTTTTAGTTCACGTATAATTTATAACTTACCAATATTAAAAATGTTTGATGATTTTTTAATAAATGTTGAATGATCAGTAATTTCGCCTAAAAACAAAAAACACAAAAATGAAAAAGATGACAGACAGATCTAGAAATAACGAAGTGTTTGCAAAATATTTGCTTAGAAATAAATGATCAAGTATCATTCTTTGAAAATCAAATATATTTTTACTAAAGTTTTGAGACAATGTACTATTTTCAAAAACATACAAAAAATGTCTGATGAAGCGGAAAACACACTCTCAAATAATATGTACATCATCATAAAATAGATTTAACTTTTTCAAGTGAAAAAGACAATATCTAATTGATCTATATGCATTATTAGGCTTAAAAAAAACTCAAAAAAGGTTTAGATAGAAGAAAACTTTCTGATGCTTGTGAAAAAACTCTTTTCTGTTTTGTAAAAATCCAAAACAGTTTTATTATTCATTCTCATGAACTCTTGAGCGACAATGTGACATTTTTCATGATTGTTTTCAAAGCAAATGTGCATTGTACAATTCATTTTTATCGTATACATTCATCTGTAAATGAAATAAATATTCGATAGGAAGTCCTATCAAAAAAAGAAAGCTTTGGCTGTATATATGTTTCAAAAACTAAGACAAATGTTCAGTATTTTAAAAAAATTTTCAGATTTTCTAATATTTATACGAGTACTAGTGAAAACGAAGTCATGTAGAAGTTTCAATCATAGAATTTTAATTAATCATAAATTCCGGAAAAGTTTTTTGAAAGGCTATTTAGTAAAGAGATAGAACAAGTTGGATGTCAATTCAGAACTAAAAGCCAAATTATTCATGAGAGTAGGATGGGAACATTTTATAATAAACCAAAGATTCTTTCAAATCTGTGTGAAAAGAAGAATATATTACCCTCACCACGATGGATATCAAAATGTCTTTAGCTATTATCGAGATAAAAGTTTCGAAAGAAATATATCGTTCTCGTATCAAATTCTGATATTTGTACTATCCGAAATGTTTTTTTTTTATCAATTTTTTTATATTCTAATTACGAGATTCACAAAACTAAAACCGTAAATTATCTTTCTTTCTATCTTTTTGGAAATGTTCATTTTGATTGAATTGGACAAGCCAATTAACGTGTATACACGATCACACATCACAAATTATATGAAAGTTCATCATAAGAAATAGGAAAAAAAACGAATAAAAAAAAGATGTGTTCAATTTTCTTTTTCTCTCTCTCTCTTTCTCTCTCTTTATTTTCATTTGCATAAAATACATAGTCTAAATGATGAATCATGATGACAAGCAGAACCATACATATCGAGATTAAATTCATTCGACACTAATTGTTGCCTTCTTTATATAGACGTGCATAAATCAAGATAAGCGAGATATAGAAACTAGTATTTACCGAATAAAGAGAAGAAAAAAGTGAAATGAAGAATGAAGAAAGGTATTCTCGAAATACAAGAGGTTTGTGTGTTATGTTGATCGTTCAATTTAGCGTTTGTAATATAATAGATGATTATCGTTCATACAGAATAGATTCATTGAGCCGTATTTTGTACACATACAAGAAGAGAAGTGTGATTGACACAAAACTATTTACAAAATTAGACAAAACACAAACTGTAAACTTACGTTCTAATATGGATGGAAACATTTTGTAAATTAAACGTTGAAACATCACATCTGATCTAGAACAACAGAAAAGAAAGACAAAAATGAGTTGGTGTTAGTATTTTTTGGTTCATATAACATTCTTTCTCCTGTTCAATGACAAAAAAAAATTGGCATTAAGTGGAACTGACGATCAACAAATTAAGAGAATGGGCGTCAGATGATGAGTTATTGTTTAAAGTAAGGTGTCATTATCCTTCAAATCAAACAGGCATAAGTGTAGGAGAAAAAAAAAAAGGTGTTTTTTTTTTTTTTGTTCTAATCTGATTGATGAACGTAGAAGATGATGTTGAGTGATGACATCTTGCAAAGAATGTAAACAACAGATAGATATAGAGATAAGAGGAAATTTGAGAATGATAAATCAATCTTTTACTTACTTTAATGAATTCCATGGATTTCTTATATTTAAATTGCATATTGGACAAACAGATTTACTTTGAAAGTAAATTACTATACACGATTTACAAACTTAAATAACAAAAAAAAAATAGATACGATCAACTTTTTAGTGCAGAATAAAGTAATAGATCGATTGTTTAAACTGAAAGTCTTTCAGAATTAACAAACACGTTTGGTTCACACTAATTTATTCAAGAAAAACAAGTCGATTTCCTCAAAGTTTTATCGAATATTAAATACAAAAGACTATTGAAAAAAAAAGTATTTTATTCTTTTAATAATAGTTATTAAAAATAGTGACTTTTTTTCAACATCATAGTAAATAATTTAGTTAATAATTAAAAAAAGACTTACATCGATGTAAACATTCATTGATAACTGTTGCTTGTGTAATATATCCATGACAAAGTTTACATTGAAATAATTCATTTAATTCGATCTCCATTTTATAATCTAAAAGATTGAAATGAAAATGTTTAATTATACTAATGTATTGTTAAATTTGAAATGTATTCATGCATGAAGATCTTTAATGTACTAGTAGTGGTAGTGTGAATACAGTAATAAAAAACAAAAACGGGAAATGAGAGAGCTATAGGACGTGACTAAACTATGAAGTTAAAGACAAAAATGTTTCTTCTTTTTTTTTTTTACAGTGCACGAACATAGAGGTAAAGTTCTGTGTGGCCCTGCTACATCATAGAAAAGTTCAACTTTGTGTGATAGTAATGAAGGTAAAAAAAGAAAAATGTTTGACAGATCAATCAAGAAAATGATTTATGTTGTTTATTATCATTGATAGAACACATATGTATTGAATAAACACTGATTCTGATAGACGAGAAAATGATTCATCCATTTGTGCATGATATAAGAATAGAGTATTTTTCAAAAAATTACATCAGCATTTTGCAATAATAAATAATATAACTTTTATAATGGTTATAAGTGGTTTTTTTAATCCTTGAAGCAGTATTCACAACCTTTATTTCATAAACATAGGCATGTTTTTTTATTAAATAGAAAAATAAGTAATTGCATTATGAAATGGCAATGACTGGACGATTACCAAGTTATTACGTAAAATTTTCTCTTATATTTGACATTATTCGATTCAAGAACTTTTTCTAATGATAAGAATACCAAGTCATTATACTATCTAGTTTTCTATATTTTCTTTACTATTTTCAATATTTATATTTGTAACAAGCAAGATTAAACTATAACAATCTGTTAGTGAGCCAGAAAAAAAATGATTTAAGAACTAGTTAGTCTTAATGAAGTGAAGAAAAAAAAGGATGTGACAGAAAATTATATAGGAACATATATTATTTTACTCTCAAAATAATGAAAATAAAGCTCAAATAAACCTTCTACAAAGTCGCTTTATCATTCTCATCACTGAATACATTGTTCTTAATTGCATTATCACGGTATCATATTTATCGTTTCTCGCTTTCCTATCAAATAACATCAACACAATGAGTAAAAGCCATAAAAGTAAAAATGCACTTTAGAAACTGATAACTAAATGAAAAAAAAAAAAAAAAAAAAGAAGTTTTGATCGACATTTACATATATATAGATAGAGAGAAAGGTAAAATTCTCTACTCTGCACTTATCAGTAACGAAGAAGAGTAAACATTTCTTCATATATACACCTGTATATAATTAAAAGTATGTAGATAGCGACTATGTCAAGCAAAACTAATTAGTTTTAATGAACACGAGAATATATGTGAAGTTCATATAGTCAATATGAGACAATGCTTACGTTTCCAAATTTGTAAGGTCTCCTTTACTATTATATGTCGGTCTAGAATATTATGAACATTTTTCGAATTCTTGTAGTAATCTTTAAGCAAAGAAAGAGAGAGAAAAGAAGAAAAAAAAAAAGAATTCTTTTTTTTTGGCTTGCATAAAAAAATAAATAGAACAGAACACAACCGAAAGACGTGACACTACTCAACACTACTCAACTCTATTCACATATGGGATGTATAGTTGAATTTACTATTGTAGATGCAAGAACGATGATGATGGTAGACGTCGTCGTCTACTTTGTTCAGGATAAAGAGTAAAAAAAGCATTGTTGTTCTGTAAAAAGAAAAATTCTTCTGTATTAATACTTACAGATGAATGCCTTCATCTCAGCTGTAGAGAAACACTTTGAAGATGATGATGATGATGAGTTTCTTGCGTTTTATCTCCTTTTCTTCGCACTAATGATAATGTATTTCCAAGAGAAATTTTCTATACTATGAAATTAGTCCAGTTACCAGATAATCGTGATTGCTCAAGTACAGAGACAGAAAAAGTATTACTAAGAAAGTATCTATTTTACATCAGTTACCAGTTTTAGCTTTGTAAAACTGTCAAGGATTTTCGAATTCAACAACTACAATCGTTCCTCTTTTTGAAATAGTTCATTTTGGGTTGACGAGCAAGAGAATAGTTCGGAAGAAGAGTGTCTGTTAACTCCAATCTAACTCATTACTTCAACGTCTCTCTTTTTCGAAGAAAAAAAATGTAGAGAAGTATGACACAAAGATCAGATAATTCTCACGGTCAAAAAGTAAAATAACAAAGGTTATGCTGAGAAGTTGACCGATCGGTTATAATGTGTCAGTGTTGCAAGAAATGTTTGATAATTCCCATCCAACGTTCAACTAAAGTAGACAACAATAGACTAAATAGACAAACAATTACGTTTAAAGGGCTTATAGTAGATAGTAAAAAGAGTAAACCATACATAAAACTAAAGTATCATTGAGTTAAATTTCTGATAGAAGAATTCTACCTAATCGAACAAAAAAAGTTAAAAAATGAGAGGTTATATGAGAGACGTTCTAGATGAATAATAGGGTATTTCTACTATTTACTGTTATCCCCAATTGATTGAATCTTCTATGTAATATTTCTTTGTCACGATAGTTTAACGTTTACTCTATGTTATTCGAAATTCAACTTTGATAAGAACTCTTAAAAGCCATAAGTTTGCAGCTGAAAAGATACAAACGGTTAAGGACGTCGTATCTCATATCAAGTTTTGATAGTAGGATAAAAACTTATGCTATACAATAACACCCTTTACAAACGCTCTATAATGATCGATGCATCTACCGCTATGATGCTAAACGTTAAGGGATTCAAGTTACTCTCCTTGTTTTTAAGTCAATGGGAAAGAGTAGATTTTCAATAGGTTCAAATAAATAATAGGTTTTATTGCGATTTTACAATTATACCCTGGCTTTCTTACTTGATATCAAGGACAATAGTGATGATTATCTCCAACACACATAAAAAGTAAGATAGTGTTACGTTGTGCAAAAAAGCCTAATTATTTTTCCATGACAAAGAAAAATATTTTTATCCCCAGACAAAAAGTTAGTTTAAATTTCAATATTCTTACCACGTTTATTATTTGTAACATTTACTTCTCTCAAATGTTCATACGTACATGCATACTCATACACAACTCAGCGCTCTCTCTCTCTATAAGATCGGCAAATATGAAATGAAAAAAAAAAACATATTCCGACGTCTCGATTCTCTTCTTCTTCTTTTTTTCTTCCTTTCTCCCATTTTTGTGACTTTTTTTTCTTTTCGTCCGATGTGTGCAAATGTGTGTGTAGCTGTATGCGTGTGGATTTCTACCTAATTTATTGGTTTTTTTCTTCTATGCATATAAAGAACGAGAAAACGGTAAGAGCCTTACTCATATATCTTTTTTTGTCGATGTATATGTATATATGCCATATTTTTCAGAGTGCGTCTCGATAAGCAAAAATTGTCTCCGCTTTTTCTTTCTCTTTCTTGCCGCTAGTTTTTATGAAATATAATCTTATATCCTGATTGATTGCCAAGCATCATTTAATCAAATAGAATAGAGGATTGGTCGAAAGAAAAGAAAAAGTAAATTTTTTTCTCTAGCTATAGTGGCCGCAAGAGAATAGGTTACTATGTATTTGATATCAGACATGAACATATGACATACTAAAAAAACTATCCAACCAAATAAAAGATAAGAGTGAACAAGTTATTTTAAAATTTCGATTGGCGTGATAAAAAAATGTATTTTTGAGCGTCATTTTAAATAATTTTTGTTGCTTAGCGTTCCATATAGGTGTTATAGTTGTTGTTTTTTCTACATCTATAATATAGAATTTCCCCCTCCATATAGTATCGACCTCATATAATGGAAGTTTAAAATAAAAAATGTTTCTTTCTTCTACGAGTTTAACTCAACATATAGGGACAAATATTGAGTGAGTGTCCCATTTTCCGGAATAACTAGAAGAATTTCAAGTTCGACATCGTTGTTCATAAGAATAATCAGAGATGAACTTGTCAGAATTCGATAAAATTTTTACCGTATGATGTTGAAAATTATAATTAAGTCATTGAAAAGTTTGTTCCTACTGTTAAGAGAAATTCGACTTCTTTGACTTTTTCAAAAGTTTTACAGGAATTGCTTCTGTACTTCAAGGATGTCTCCGAATGATATTGAATATGAAGAGTTTGATTCTAGTATAATAATATATTGTTGATACATAATTATGTTGTCATAGAAGAGTATTTTTTTCAATAACTCTTCAAGAATGTTTCTCACTTCGAATCTACTGGAGATCATATTTCTGTACCGGAGATTCTATATAACACCTCATTTAATATGACTCAATGATGAGTTTCTCTATCAAAGTTCGTCTATATACTAAAAAGTAGAAACTTTTATTAGCAAAAACTAAATTTTAAATTTGACTTGTGTTTTTCTAACGTTTCATCTTAAACATACTTCTACAAATAAACTGAAGTATTAACGTTGTTACATTTGAGTAGCTTTTTTTTTCTTAACATTGAGATAGTTTATTTGTTCCTTGAAAAAGGTTAACAAAAAAAGATTCAAGTAGAGAACACATAACACAAGTACATTTGAGTAGATCTGAATGTTAATACCTTTAGTTATCTTTTTATCGTTTTCGCTTTCAGAATGTGAAAAAAACATGTTAAAAAAGTCCATGGCATCAGTTTGAGCCAAATTGTTCAGTAACCACATCCATCTGGTTAAAATTTCCATTAAAGGACAGACTAGATTCTAAAATATACAACATAGAAAATTGTCTCATGCATTAACACAAAAATTTTCATTATCTATTCCTTAGTTATGCTAGTGAAACAACTTTAAAAGTCAGACGTAAGTTAATTTTCCTATCAGAATTTAGACAGCACTTCGTTGACGAATTAAATAAAGAAAAAGGAAAACAATCCTTTTTACTATTTTTCATTTTGCTTGATCTCTCTTGGTTTTATAAGAATAACCGTTTTCATTTAAAATAAGTGTAGTGGCAGAATTCTTTATAATATTTTTTTTGATATGACTCGAGTAAAAGAGACAAAAACGAGAGACAACAGAAATATTTTAAGTATTAAAATTTCAGTTAGATT